TATTGAATGATGCAGGAAACATCAAAAGAAGATGGAAGGAATACACAGTCACTGTACCTAAAAGAACTAGTCAATATTCATCCATTTCAGGAGGTGGCATATGATCAAGAACTAATGGTACTGAAAGAAGAAGTCAAGGCTGCACTGAAGGAATTGGCAAAAAACAAGCCTCCAGGAATTGACAGAATACCCATTGAGATGTTTCAACAAACGGATGCCACACTGGAGGCATTCACTTGGCTATGACAAGAGATTTGGAAGACACCTAACTGGCCAAGTGACTGGAAGAGATCCACATTTGTACCCATTCCAAAGAAAGGTGATCCCACAGAATGTGGAAATTATTGAACAATATCATTAATATCACATGCAACTAAAATCTTACTGAAGATAATTCAAAAATGGTCACAGCAGTATATTGACAGAGAACTTCCAGAAATGCAAGCTGGACTGAGAAGAGGACGTGGAATGAGGAATATCACTGCTGCTGTTAGATGGCTCTTAAGCAGCAAGCAAAGAATACCAGAAAGATGTTTCCTTGTGTTTCACTGACTATGCAAAAGCATTTGATTGTGTGGATCATAGCACATTATGAATAACACTGGGAAGAATGGGAATTCCAGAACACTTAATTGTATTCATGAGGAACATTTACACAGACCAGGAGGCTGTTGTTCGAACAGAATAAGGGGAAATGGCATGGTTTAAAATCAAGGGAGTGCATCAGGATTATATCCTTTTGCTACACTTGTTCAACGTGTATGCTAAGTAAATAATCTGAGAAGCTGAACTATATGAAGAAGAACATGGCATCAGAATTGGAGGAAGACTCATTAACAACCTGCAATAGGCTGATGACACCACTCTTGTTTGCTGAAAGTGAGGATGACTTGAAGCAGTTACTCATGAAGACTGAAGACTACAGTCTGCAGTATGGATTACATCTCAATATAAAGAAAGCAAGAATCTTCACAACTAGACCAATAAGCAGCATCACGACAA